TCAAAGTGTGCCGACATTCTATTTTTTTAAAAATAATGACACCGACTGTTTTCATAACTGATTATTGCAAAAAACCAACATCCAACATAAACAAGTGTACACTAAATTAACTTCATAATAACAATAAAATAAAATAAAAAGTATATAAGTACTCGAACTTTAAAAAAATAAAAAAGAAAATCAAGATTTAAAGTACACTGACATTCTATTTTGTTTTTAAGAAATAATGGTATTGACATTTGTGTTTTCATAATTGATCATTGCAAAAAAATCAACATCCTACATTAAAAAATGTGTGTCAAACTAACTTCATAAATAACGAAACACAAAATGAGATCAAAATTATATCTACGGTGGAACTTTAAAAAATTAAAACAAAATGCCAAGATTTAAAGTGTGCCGATATTCCATTTTATTATTTTTTAAAAAAATAATGGTACTAGCATTAGATTTTCATAACTGATCATTGCAAAAAAAAACCAATATTCAATATTAATATTAAAAAAATGTGCAACAAACTAACGTCATAAATAAAAATAAAAAATAAAATGAGATCAAAAGTATATCTATAGTGAAACTTAAAAATATAAAATAAAAAAGAATATCAAATTTTAAAGTTTGCTGACATTTTATTTTATTTTTTAATTAAAGAATAATGGTGTACTGACATTCGGTTTTCATAAGTAATCATTGCAAAAACACAAACATCCAACATTAAAAAAAAAAAAGCACTAAACTAACGTTCAGGTCCACCTAGCACACATGTTCGCCTAGTGTGACCTACTTTCTTGGGCCTAGTTTGCAGGGCAATAGGTTCGGCTGGGGTTTACCTAGTGCGCACTCGTTGGATAGCGGCTGCGGATTCCCATGTTATAGAAAAAAAAAAAGATAAAATTAAATCAAAAGTATATTAGTATTGGAACTTCGTAAAAAAAATAATCAAAATTTAAAGTGTGTTGACATTCTATTTTGTTTTTAAGGAATAATGGATTTGTCATTCGGTTTTCATAACTGATCATTGCAAAAAAAAAAAAAAAAAAAAACTAATATTCAACATAGAAAATGTGCACAAAGCTACATAAGTAATAAAAAAAAAAACGATCAAAAGAACATCTATATTCGAATTTGAAAAAAAAAAATTAAAATTTAAGGTGTGCTAACATTCTATTTTATTTTTTTTAAAAGGAATAATGGTATTGACATTTGGTTTTAATAAGTGATCATTGTATAAAAGCCAATTTCCAACATTAGAAAAACGTGCTTTGTTTGTTTGAGGGTTTGTATTATAAGTTGAGATTTGAATAGTAAAATTTTTAAATTGGAATAGTTATATGATGTGATATAAATAAGTATTAATGTGATGTTTTGAATTTAAAATTAATTTTTGATTTTTTTTTTTTTTTGAGGGGAGTAGGAAATTTGAATGAATAGTAAAGTTTGGGCAAAATCCCCCAAACAAACATACTTGAATTCATAAATAACAAAAAGACAAAATTAAATCAAAAGTATATAAGTATTGAAACTTTGAAGAAAATAAACAATCAAGATTTAAAGTGTGTTAACATTTTATTTTGATTTTAAGGAATAATGGATCTGGCATTCGGTTTTCATAATTAATCATTACAAAAAAAAAATCAACATATAATGTTAAAAAATGTGCAGCAAACTAACTTCATAAATAACAAAAAACAAAATGTAATCATAAGTACATCTATATTGAAACTATGAAAAAAAAATAAAAAAATCAAGATTTAAAGTGTCTTGACTTTCTATTTTGTTTTTAAGAAATAATGACATTGGACTTTCATAACTGATCATTGAAAAAAAAAAACCAGACATCCAACATAAAAAAAAAAAAGTGCACTGAACTAATTTCATAAATAATAAAAAAAAAAATCAAAAGTATATTTGTATTAGAACTTAAAAATATATATGTGATCTAAAGCTTGTTGACACATTTGATTTTCAAAATTGATAGTTGCAAAAAAATCAATATCCAACATTAAAAATGTACACCAAGTAACTTCATAAATAACAAAAAATAAAATGAGATAAAAAAATATATATGCATTGGAACTTTAAAAAAATAAAAAAAAAATCAAAATTTAAAGTGGGTTTGCATTTTATTTTATTTTAAAGGAATATTGGTAAATTAAATCAAAAGTATATATGTAAGGAAACTTTGAAAAAAAAAAATCAAGATTTAAAGTGTACTGACGTACTATTTGTAAAGAATAATGATACTGAAATTCGATTTTTATAATTAATCACCAACATTCAACATTAAAAAGTGTGCACTAAAATAATTTTCATAAATAACAAAAAACCAAAATGAAATTACAAATATATATATATGTATTGGAACTTTGAAAAAAAATAATAATAAAAATTAAATTATTCAAAATGTACTGATATTCTATTTTATTTTTAAATAATAATGGTACTGATATTTACTTTCATAAGTAATCGTTGCAAAAAACCAACATCAAACAATTTAAAAAATGTGCATCAAATTAATTTCATAAATAACAAAAAATAAAATGAGATCAAAAGTATATTTATTGTAGAATTTTAACAAAGATAACTAAAAAAAAAAAAAAAACAATATCAAGATTTAAAGTATGTTGACATTCTATTTAATTTTATTTTTAAAAAATAATTGTTCTGACATTCGATTTTCATAACTGATCATTAAAAAAAAAAATCAACATCTAACATTAATAAATATGCATTAAACTAACTTCATAAATAATAAAAAAAAATAAAAGAAAATCATAAAAATATCGTTATTGGAACTTTGATGATTTTAGCTTTTCTTGTTTGGTTATCAATAACAATTTCATGGGAAAAAAATGTAACGTTATGATTTCATGATTGCAGATTTTGAAATATAATTTGGAAACAAGAACCAAGAACCAATAACATATCACTAGTCCCCATCCCAAACCTATATACTGGTTTTGCAAACATATATGTTATTGGCCATAGCCGTGCGATATATTGGGCCTGAAAAACACCAACACACACCGAAAGAAAAAGAGTATATATACTTGGTAATATATTTTTTGAAAAACTTTTAGTTTATGATTTGAATAGGCTACAGATTACTGTTTTATAAATAAATATATATATATTTAGTTGGTAAATTTTTTATCTAATTTTAATTTTTATTTGAGTAGTTACTTAGAAGTATGAAGAAAATTTAGCTCCATTTTTTTTTTTGTATATATATATATAATATTTTTCATATGAATTATTTTTGCCACAAGGTCCGAGCAGTATTTTAATGAATAATATTTTAATATAAAAATAAAATAAAAGGTAAAATAAAATATTATCAAAAATTTATTTTAATTAATTAATAATAAAATAATAGGATAAATATAAAATACAGTTGCACATTAATTATTATTTATTAAATAAAATTAATAATTATAAACAAATACAATTATTTACAATAAATAAATTATAATAAATGTTACAAATAATAAAAAAAGAATTACTACGTGGGGATGGAGTATATTTCTATATAAAATTATAAAAATTAAATAATATTTCCTACGTTCCATTCCAAACAGGTTTTATTGTAAATTAAAAAATAATACTAGTATTTTATTAGTTAGTAAAAATACGATAAAAGTTGACTTTTTTTTATTTTATGTATAAATTAATTGTATGTATAATGATGGTAAAAAATTAAGAGTATTTTTGTATTAATGTACGATTATGTTTTACTAAAATAAAAAATAATACTTTTGAATGAAATGAATAAAAATGGTAAAAAAAATACTTTTAATTGTGACGGAGGAAGTACAACACATGAAATGATAATCAATAAACAAAAAGTTATTATAATTTTTGAGTTAGAAGTTGAGTTAAAAGTGATTTATTTAATTAATATTTGATTTATAATGTAGTATATATAATTTTATAAAAAATTAAAATATAGATTTAATTATTTTAATGACTGAATATTAATAAAATATATATTTTATCCGTCTCAAGTCAAAGTATTTTTTTATTATTTTTTGTTTGTTCATTCAAAAATATTTCTTTCCTAATATAATAAAAATATTTTATAAACAAATACCAAAATACTCTTACTTTTACACAAACTACAAAAATATCATTATTTTACTCCGTCCGTCCGTCAAATTTATTCCAACTTTTCTTTTTAGTCCGTCCACTAAGTTTATTCCATTACTAATTTTGGTAAAGTCAACAAATCAACATTTAATTATTACCCTTCATTCAACGGACAGAGGAAGTATTTTGTACTTTGTAAGGACAAAAATGTCAAACTATTTTAAATATTTCTACTAACTGAATAATTTTATTTTTTTATCTACTAAAAAATCAAATGCCCTTTGAAATGGAATGGATGAAATATAATATGAATATTATTTTGTAAAAAAAAAAAACTCTATATAAAAAATAATATAAAGAATAATTTATAATTAAAATTAATTAATTTTAAAATAAATAGATTTTTTTTATTAAAGAAAGAGATAAAAATAGAGAATTTTAAATAATTTTTTAGTATTAATATTTGAATATTAATTATTATATCAAAACGTCGTAAAAAAAAATGCAAAAATACTTCCAGTACTTCTTATAATACTAATACAACAATATTTGTAAAAAACAAATATTATACAAATATAAAAATATTTTTAATATTAAGAACAGTAAATGAAGAGAGTAATATTTGAAAAATAAATAAAAAATTAAAAAAAAAAATCAAGGAATATAGTGTCAATTGACTCTGGCGATTGGTTATTTTATTATGACGTGATAAATACTCATCGAATCTAATACTCTGCAAATTAGGACAGACAGACAAGTCACACTAGGCGAACTATGTGTGACAAGTCACCTGAAGGGAGTGACCTCAGGGTCAGAAATCCAGCCCCGCGGCAACAGGCCATTGCTTATAGCGGATTGGTTCTTCCGATGTATAAATGGTGGATAATAATAGTAATAATAATAACAACAGAAGATGGTAGAACTTATTAATTATCTACAGCTACAATCTGTGTACCACCAATTGAGGTTTCCCTAAACTCGCAATCTATCAACAACACCACACTCTAAACACAACACAATACAAATCCAACGCCCTCTCTCTCTAGAAATCACATTCTATCACACTTACATACATGTATATTATATATTGTGTATTTGTATATGTATATGTATCTATGCATGTATCTACAAAGAAGGCAACTTATCTTGGCATGGAGAAGCTACAGCCTTCGAAATCTCCGTGGGCGGGGAGATTGGTTGGAGCCGGCATGGGCAAGCTGTCCATGGCAGTCGTGATGTCGTGAATGCTCGACCGTTTCCTCTCCTTCTTACCCGATGTGTGCCGCAGAAAATATTTCTGGGCATGGCTAGCAACTTGAGTCGGAGTCCTCGTCACCACTACATTCCGAGAAATGCTTCTCCAATCGCCTTTCCCGTACCTATCAAGTCCAATTAAGAACAATCTGCGCAAACAAAAAACAAATCGATCCGACAATTATAAATAAATGTACAAACTAAGACGAATGTTTCAGACAACATCAAAGAAACTAACACAATGGTAATAAAACTCGGTTCCAAAAGTTGCAAAGTAAACAAAAAAAAAAAAAAGAATCCCAAAGCGTTTCTATCAAACTCTTCACAAGCTTGCCTTGCCAAGCTCGCTCCGGTGTTCCATTTCTCTACTACAAATAAGTACACGGCCCCTCGACGAAACAAGGCTCAACTTCAATAGTTGCACAATACTTTGTATAAAAATCATACATACATACACATATATAGAGCTCTGTTTTATTTATATTTTCAACTACTAATCATACATACATACATACATGAAAAGGATATCACCTATATGTTTTACAAAGACACTTTTAACAACTTTTAGTGGAGTATTATTATTTTTTTCGATGATGACGTTAGAACTCGCAACTGCTATTCGAAAGTGCGCACCGACTAAACCTTCGGTCGAATCTAATACTCTCCTTACTAGACTCGACAAAGCAAATCACACTAGCCGTACCAAGTGTGGTAGGTGACCTGAAGGCGTTGGAAATTTGAACCCATAACCTCACAATATTAAGATGGTGTCATTTATGAGATTTTAACAAAAGTACACTATTCATCAAAAAGAATTTCTTAAAAAGCATCTAATAAAATACCTATTTTTTATTTTTTATATTACACTAAAAAAATAATTTTATATTTAAAATATCCCATCAAAGCTTTGATTATATCGTACAACTATTCTTATTCTTGAACTCAAATTCCAAACCTATATTTTTTATCTAAAAAGACATCCCTATTCAAAACAGTACGGCGTAATACCTACACAGTCAAAATCCTCTTGTAACATCTCTCTCTCTCTCTCTCTCTCTTAAGAGAGAGAGAGAGAGAGAGAGAGAGAGAGAGAGAGAGAGAGAGGGGGGACAAAGTACAACTTTAATCATCTAAAGAGGGGTAAAGATCAATAAATTCATTCACAGAAATAGGTAGTTCCGACCGCAACTAATCTATGGAGTACTCCAATATCTTTCGTAAAACGCAAATTTCTAATTCGAAAATAATCAAAGCTCTAACTGTTTACGAACATTTAAATGAAAAAAAAAAAATTGCATCAACCAAAAATGATAAATTGCATAATAAATAAAAGTAAAAACCTATGTTCGTCTTCCGTCCACGGAGTTCCCTTTTTCCGCTCAGCTTCGCGGCTGCGATTGATGGAGTTAGGCGATCCAAAGGATATCTGGGCGGAGCTATTGGGGCTGCGCGGCGTCGACACATCGGAATAGGTCGGGAGCTCGACCCGGCCCGAATCAATCTCGGCGATGTCGTAAACGAGAGCTTCGTAATGCGCTCTGATGTCTTCGGGTGATTTGTCGGGGAGGAATTCGGCAATTCGACGCCAGCGGTCGTCGAGACCTTCGGGAAATTCGACCAAAGCTTGCTCGAAGATTTTGTCCTCCTGTCGGCTCCAGGCGGCGGAATCGGTCATCGGCATCCAGCGATCGGCGGCGTCGATGGCGTACATTTCCATGGGAGGGAATTTGTCTGATTTGGGGGTTTGGGGGTTTTGGGAAAAGAGGGATTTGAGAGGAATTGGGGATTTCTTGAAAATGGTCGTTTCTTTCTTATACAGACTGGTATGGTATGGTACGGTATGGTGTGGTGTTAATTGTTATTTTCTGAAATGGAAGCCAAATTCGCTTTGACTTTCGCTTAGTTAAGCTACGGCGATAGATATATATATATATATATATATTCACGATTGTGTTGTTTTAGTGAAAAATATTAAATAGTATTCTTAAAAGAATATTAATAATAATATTATTTTTATATTATATACATAATTTTTTATATTTTATATATATATAAAAGAATATTCTTCAAATTTATCCATTCTATTTGTATTTCATATAGAATATTTATTTTAATAATTTCAATAAATTTTCATGTATACAATTTATCCAAAATAAAAAGACAATAATTTTTTTATATAATAATTATTATTATATTATTAAAAAGTATATTATATAATATATACATTTATTTATATATAATATACTTTTTTTTGTCGGCCCATATTTATATTTTTATTTTTTTCATAATGAATATATATATATATTTTTTAATAATTATGATACCACTATTCAATAAAAATATATTTACTTTATTATACATTATTGTTATACTATTAAATCACTTTTATATATAATAATCTTTACACTATTTTTAATTACTTAAATTATAATTAAAATATTTTTATTTTTAAAGTAAATATACGCCTATAGTTATATTTTATATATATTTATATATTAAAAAAATCAATATAAAAAATATTTTAAACAAAAAATATTGTTGTTGTCCAATAAAATTATGTAGATATGCTTAAATATGAAAATTAAAAAATAATATTTTTTTAATATTAAAGTAGATATATAAAAAGTAAAATAAGAGTGCTATGAAAAATTTATTAAACGATCGATGAAAAGATAGTAGAGTAAATAAAAAAATCATGACAAATTAATATAATTTATATTGTATCTAAAAGAAATATTCAACCGTCTATCTACAGCCAAATTAAATTTTCATCTTCCACTCTTCTAATATGAAATTGCTATATTTTTCGGATTTATCCCACATGCTTGTATCATTTTTGAGTCATATCTGACATGCCGCCTGAATTACATTTGACACGCCACATGTCAATCTGAAAAGTTTAACGTATCACTCTATATGTTCAACATTGAAAGTTGTAAGCACCATCCACCCGTCCAACTTTAAATGTCTGTTCAACTTTTTAAAAATATGGCGTATGACTCTACTTGTCCAACTTTAAATGTCTAACATATCATTTCTTCCCGTCAAACTAAAAAATCTCACATGATATCTCATATATTTGTGCTTCTAAAAAATCGTTTGATACGCAAGTCACACAAGAAGCTTGTCATATCATTTCAACCGTCAAACTATGATACCTGAAATTGTCCGGAACGACAATCGTCTGGCACATTTGGACGTCTTTGTCGAGTCTATCAATCCTTGATCCAAGTATGTCTAGATTAATTGTCTTTATATGTTTATTGATTTCGAGCTTGATTATTTTTGGTGGTAACATAGGCCCCCTTTTTGTCATATGAATTATTCTATGTAAAGCCATATGACATAGGAAAACCGGATATCTCAAGATATCGAAATTAAAAACAAAATTTACTTTATATTCTATATCTTTGTTTAATTCAGAAACTTCTTTCTTGGCACCGCTAGAGTTTATTTACTTTTTATTCTAATGTCTTCCTTGTGTATGGACGATTTATTTCATTTGCAGTTCGTTAACCATCAAGTTAATGTCAATACCTTACCCGTGATCCATCGCGCATATTTACCTTTGGATGGCTGTGATGTCCGATCTCTCACTTTTTGGAATAATGGCTAATCAAATAATCAACCCTCAATTGAACCAATTGGAATTTAAATGAGTTCCCACACTCCATCTGCACGAACTTCTTCAAGTTCTATTGAACTATCTAATCGCCATCAGAACCAAAAGCATTTTGAGGGTTCTCCTATTGTTGTCAGTAGCGACTCTGATTATGACGGTTTCTGTTCTAACAATGATTTGGCTCCAGCATACGCCTTACTGCTAATGTTCCTACGGTATGCTCTTTCCACATAAGGTTTTCCTGCTTTCAAGATGTCAGTCGTCCCCTCGACGTGTTAGGAGGATGTCTTGATTCGATCCCTTTGCATTCTCAGCAGTATACATGGTCATCATTTCCGTCAAAATAATCACCACTACAATTGGTCCGGAGAGAATGGATTCTTGGTCAAACGTTTGACGTCGTTGTAGGCATTAAAAATAAATAAATTTTTCTAAAATTAAATATCATATATTTTGAGAGAAAATAGTATCCCAATAAAATAAACATATGAATTATATATATGTTGTATTTTATATAATAAATATCAACTATTAATACGAAATATATCAAAATAGAAGATATAATATAAATTTTATATATACAAAGAGAGTATGATAATTTTGGCAATAAAATAAATTAACTCATGTACAAAGGAAGTATTATAATTAATATCTTTCAATAAATAAAATGATATAAAGATCTTGACGATAAAGAAATGTGCATAATTAAATCCTTGCAAGGATGAAAAAATGAAATTCAATAAAAAAAATAAAGTATTACAAAATCTTTTTGTTGGCCAATCAGAGTGTGCCATATGGCATCATCCGGAAAAAAACCCGAGGCTACCCCTCCCATATAAATAGGGGTCTTTGTCAATTCATTTGACGCACCGAAATTCATTCGAAGAATCGAGCAAGGATAAGTCTCTCTAGACTCTTTTTGCATTGTTCCTTGTGTTTTTCATATCTTGGAAGCGTTCTTCGTCGAAAAATCTTTTATTTGGACAAATGATCCAATATTAGTTAACAAATTAATAAAGTTAAAAGTTTTCTTCGTATGCCCATGCTAGGGGAGAGATAAAAGCTCCGAAATCTGTTAAAGAATCAGTCAAAACTAAGAAAAAGTCATCCAAGTTCATCGAAAACTTCAAGATGTGCTTCATCAAAACCATCAATCTGACCCTATTCAATACAAAAATCTAAAGACACGCCGCCGAAAAGCGTAATGGAGCAAAAAATCCATCTCCGCAAGGATCAAGTCACCAAATTTGTCAAATAAAATATCAAATCAAAGATCAGATTCGCCGAAATCCTTTAAAAGAGTCCAGTTAAAAGAGCAAAGCCTCTCAAATCATCCAAAGAAACAAAATAAAGGATCAAGTGTTTCTAAAAAACCCCAAAAGACCTCTTTCAATTCCAAGTTGAAAGATAAATCAATCCGGAAAGATAATTAAAAGATTTGTTTAGAGAATAGGATATGTTTCATTTTGAATTATATGTAATATGTACAAAATTTATGTTTATAAAATTAATGCAATTTTTTTTTTGTCTACAAATTTTTTGTTCACCCAGTTGCACCTCTCTATCTTTTATCTCTCGTTTCTTTGAACATTCAACAATCAATGGCTTCCTATAATATCAAGACATCAAACGCTACGTTGAAAGATGTTGCTCAAGCTGATGGCACCAAAGGAGTCGCCACATCCACCGCATTAAAACCTCAAGCGCTTCAATGAATGTTAGAGTGCCAACATGGAGCATGGCCAAAAGAGTGTTGTCGTTCTTTGAAGACACTCCTCCAAAAAACACGGAGCAAAATTGATTCTATAAATGAGTTACCACATCCACCTATTCAAGAATCTTTAAAAGCAAAAGGATATGAATGATACAAAGAAAGGGAGCAACACCACTATGTCCTCCAACAAAGAAGCTTTGGCCGTAAACATTATGCACAAAGCACATATGAAAGTCCGAAATAAAGAAAATGAAGATGTAAAGAAAAAACAATTGCCTCGGACAAACAGGCCTCCAAAGCCAACCCTTAAAGAGTTGTAATACATAACTTACCTTTTCTTGGATTCTAACGTTTCGAGCATTTTTTACGATCTCCTGAAAGAGAACCTTATCATACTTCCGAATTCAAAGAAACTAGAGGAAGTTGGAAAGGTTGATGATCCAAAATACTGTAAATACCATCGTATAATAGGGCATTCCATCCATGCTTATTTCATCTTTAAATAAAATTCATTAAGCTAGTTCGTGAGAAAGGATCACCCTTGAGCATGATTCTATTGTTGTTAATTTCACTTCAATCATGTTCGGATCTCTCGAAGATGACATAAAATATGAAGATCCTATTGCCTCACTACTAAGAAGAATGAAGAATCCGCAAAGGCAGCCAAAGACAAATCAAGTGAAGAATATACCACGATGATCTTCATTGATGAAGATTTGATGTTAGGATCCAAACCTCATAATTGAGCATTATTGGTTGTGGGCTATATCCATGAGCAAAAGACCAACTGAATATTCATAGATGAAGGAACTACGATCAATGTCATTTCTCTATACACGTTGCAATGATTGAGAATACCGGTATATCAAATATTCAAAAGTTATATAACGATACACAGTTACAATCAAAAGGGGCAGAGAGCACTTGGCACCATAAGATTGAGGTTTTTGATCGATGAAATAGAAACCAATTCCCTATTTTACATTGTAGATATGAAGATATTTTTCAACGTTCTTTTGGAAAGACCATGGATACACGGGAATGATATAGTCCTATCGACATGGAACCAATGCTTCAAATACATTAAAAATAGAGTGAAAAAAAAAGTTATCGGCGACACTAAACCATATATGAATCCGAGTCACACTTTGTAAATATAAAATACTTCACAAAAGAACTAGAAGCACCAAAAATACATGAAGACGTCAAAACACCACAACCAAACTTTGGGGCAAAGTCAAGAGATAAAGCAAAAACACTTGTCTCAACTTCTCTTGACTCTTCAAATGATCCTCTAAACAATTTGACTCTACTGATGACCTCAATCAATCATGTATATATCTCACAAATAAAGAATGAAAGAGAATGAAAAATGTAGGCAATACGGTTGCAAAAGAACAAAATCTTTGGCTTAAAAGCCTACAAACTCCTAACAAAAGTTGGGTATAATCCAAACAATAAGTCATGGCTTGAAAAATGACCACCACTGAGAACCTAACTTCAAGGGATGG